CCGAGCGGCCGCCGTCGGTCGGTGGAGGCCGGAGGGAACGGGCCCGAGGTGTCCCCGCGGGGCGGGCAGGGACGGGGACAGGGCCAGCAGTGGTGTCCCCCCTCTCCCACCCGTGAAGGGAGCCCTCCCGGCGAGGGCTGCAAGAACAAAACCATCTCGGACGTTTATATGCTAATGACGGGTGGAAAATGATAGATTTTATGTTAGGTCAACCAGCTTTATGCAAGCAAAAGTAAGATACTGCTAATTATAAAGTCAATAAAACTAACGGCGGTGCCGATTGATTCCCCGAATAAAGAAGTTAATTAATATGTGCGCGGGCAGCTAATATTGTAGCCCGGTCGCTGTGGCCCCGCAGTTCCCATCCCCAGCACAGCCTCGAACGTTCTCCAAATAAACTTGTCACCTCGTACCTGCTCCCTTTAAAATACAACTAGTTTAAATATAGTTGCCTAACAGCCTTGTGCAGGTTATTGATGTGTGTAACGTAACCCGTGATGGATACACACAATGTGAATTTCAAATCTTTACAATATGCTCCGATATCGGCGTGCCTGTCTTCAAGATGATTGTAATAAAAAACATGAAAAATGTACTTTCATCGTAACAGGGAAAGATGATTGGATGGTGTAAGAGGACTGGGTATTTTTTAGCGCAGCTGTGATTAAAATAAAATAGTCTTAACGGGATATTTTTGGACAGGAATACTTACATTCCTGGTTTCCTTGGATTGGAATACCTAATAAGTCTATAGCGACAGAAGTTGGCCAGAACTCTTCTGTTTCTATTTTATTTCGTAGAGTGTCTGAATCTATAGAAAAACCCGTAGGTTTCATGAAATTTAATTACGGCTGTTTCACGAGCCAGCCGGCGCACGTACAATATATGCTTGCTGTAGATAAAATTTTAGCATGGGATTTACATGGAGATGTACTGGCCTGAGAAGGGGATTTAGGGAAGGGATCAAATAAATCACGTAGGAAGGAGTAAACACCTGTTTCTGTCCTCGTAGAGCCGATGGCATGTTCGCAGCGGGAACTTACGCAGATTCTTGCTGGGTGAAGTAGCAGTTTCCACATTTTCTTCTCTCTCTACAGCAACGCGATGTCAGGTGAGCAGCGAAGTGCGATGGCAGCCAGATGTCCTGCAGAAAACTCCCAACACCACCGCGCTAACTCCTACCATGGGTTTCACGTCTCCACATGAGGACGCTTGAAAGGAGAAAGGAAGAAAACACTGGTTTTGCCCAGCGCGTGGAAGTGCATGAAAATGTGCTAAATGCTGTGTATAAATTTGATAATGTCTCGAATTTTTCATTAGCAGCTCAGATTTAGTCCGGGCAAAGCTTTTAATCAGTGCACTTAAACTTGCCTTTCAGAGAAGCAGCATCGGAAGAGCAGCTTGCCCTTACAAGTACAGCGGTCCTTCCAGTGAGCTGCGGCCGAGGACTCGAGGAATAAATGATGTGTTTCATGTAACAGTACACACCGTGCTAACTCCTGCCCAGTAAATACTGATACTTGTCCCATTTTGTGGCCGTTCCCCTGAATTTTTCAGTTTCCCACAAGTTCTGAGCCTGTTCACTGTGAAGTGCCAGCAGGTGAAAGTGCACCTTAAAGGTCATCTGTTACATATATTTAAAAAAATAAAAGAAGCAGATCTGTATCGCTTTTATGTTTTTGAGATGGGCAACAAAGTTCTGAAAGGAACTGGAAAAAATTGTGCTCATTTTGAACCTTTCCTATATTTAAGCTGCAACTGCCCCTGGTTTTGATGGAGGGTCTAATAAGTGTTCTCAGAAATGTGAGTTGTCACGACTCGCGCTTTATGTGAGTGGCCCAGTCTTCTCTCCAGATGTTCTTAAGGCAATTAAGTTAGTGTGAATGAAGAAAATTCTCTGAATTTTCTACACCATGAATCCCTGCGATTCCGGTTGCAGCGTAGGGCTTTTAGGACGCCTTTACGCTGTATTACCAGTTATTACCGATTTTACCGACCGGGCAAAAGCTAAATTTCTAATGGAAAAAGCAGCAGAGCCCTCAAAGTTGAGCATCTTCCTTGGTGGCATGATAACAGCATGCCTCTGTCTTTTGGCAAAGAAAAGCAACAAGCAATGCAGATGCAGCCCCTCCCCGATTTGAGGCTGATTCTCGCTTTTCCTGGGCAGGTGCCTGCAAAGGCCTCTCCCACGGGTGGTTTTGCCCGGTGGCTGGCACCCTGCGTGCCAGGAGGGAATGGCTGTGAGCCCAAGGATGCTCCTGGCTGGGGGGATTTGTAGGGATGTGCTGTACCAACGGTGTGTGGTGCCACCCGTGCGGTGCCGACACACGGCTCTCGGTTGGTGCTGCAGCCTCTGTCTCAGCAATAATCTTCTGCGCTCACGTCAGAGCCTTAATTTTTTTTCAAGAGAGGGAGGGTGAGCTAAAAGAATCAAACGGGAAAAACTGCTTTGCTCCAGTGGCTGATGCTGCATAACCTGCCTTCTTCCCTGGTCTCAGAAAGTACGTAATTTGGACTCTGCTGTCCCTTCTTCTGTCACCCTGTCCCCAACTTCCTAGCTCTTTCTGTAAGGTAATGGAACAAAATACATATGCAGAGGAGATTAGCACCATGTTTTCAAGCCTATCTACTTACCCCTCCTTCTTTCTGAGTTCAACTTTTTATTACTGCAGCTATGAAAGACATTTGAGAACGTTTTCCTTCCTAACAAAGGTTTTACAGCCTTTGCACATCAGTTCATTAAACACTGATGTGACATCAGCAGTCTCCGTAAAAAACACCCAGGGACAAATTCTGAGAGAATTCTGAAATGGGGAGGTGTAAAATGCACCCCTTGCGTGCCAGTGCTCTGGACAAGGGGCGGTTTGTCCTTATCACCATCCTGGAACCACCGAGGATGTAAACCCGTGGTTGGTAAAGCACAGAACTGCCAGAGCGGTGTGATCTTTTAGGAACATCTGCCTCAAGTTAATTTAGAGAAGAAAGGCAATGGCTTTAGGAATGCAGCTGCATCACCGTTCAGGCTGACATTCCATGTGTTACAGACTGATGTCCACATCGGTGCTCCTCACTCGGGTTTCCCACTGGGATCCTGGGGGTGATCTGCAGGTCCATAGGGGTTTGTGGAGCGGGTGGCTGTAGGGTCCATCAGCAGGTGCCTGTGATTCCTCCTGTCTCTGCTGGCACTGGTGCCCCGGTGTTCTGCTCTTTGAAAATGTCACCCTCGACTCTCCATCTGCTGGAAAAGGCAGTGAGCAGATACAAGCTAGTCAGCAGTCACTCCTGTCTGGTTGACAAGCTGGTCACCTGTTGTTTATGTCCAGCCTTCAGTATTTTGAATGCAATGCTTCAGCAGTGTCCCCTGCACCTATATCATCACTCAAGCTTTTTTGGTTTCCTGGGTTTGTATAAAGTGATCTCGTATCACTGGGAAATGGTAAATGCTGGCGATTTTGCCCAGACCTTAACGGCTGTGGGGTCATACTGACTTCACAGTTCCTGAACTCTGTGAAAC